AAAACTATCGTGAGTGTTGCCAATAATGTTGCCCACGTTATCGGGGAAAGTGATGTATTACTCTCCGATACCCTGCATCTTGATTATGTCTTCGTTGTTCCTTCTCTTGACTATAATTTATTATCTGTTGCTTAAATAACTGTCGCACTACATTGTCTTGTGATTTTTTGGCCTTCTTTTTGTGTTTTTAAGGACATTCGAACTCGCAAGATGATTGGTTATGGTATTAGGCATGAGAAGCTCTACTATTTAGAGCTGACATCGAACAGTTCCCGAATGTTGACTCAAGCTCTTGCAGTGGAAGGAAATAAGGGGGATAGGAATAAAGCTTCGGAGATTTGGTTGTGGCATCGTCGACTTGGACATGCTTCGTTCGGCTATCTGTGGAGGTTGTTTCTTAGCCTATTTGTTAAGCATGATATCTCTAACTTTAAATGTGGTGTTTGTGAAATGGCTAAAAGTCATCGTACTTCGTTTCCACCTAGTTTGAATAAAAGTTCAATCCCGTTTATGATAATTCATTCTGATGTTTGGGGACCATCTAAAACTGCTACACTTGGTGGTGCTCATTGGTTTGTTATGTTTATTGATGACTGCACACATATAACTTGGGTTTGTTTAATGAAGTCCAAAAGTGAAGTTACTTCTTTGTTTCAGCAGTTTTACAAAATGATACAAGTATAATATAAGTCCTAAATGCAGGTTCTCAGGAGTGACAATGGTGGCGAATATGTAAACTCTGAACTTCGTGCCTTTCTTGATCATCATGGTATTGTTCATCAGACTACCTGTCCCTATACTCCATAACAAAATGATGTTGCTGAACGCAAGAATCGTCAGCTTCTAGAAGTTGTTCGTGCTTCTTTGCTCGAGGCACATCTCCTGTTATCCTTTTGGGGAAAAGTTCTCACCTCAGCTGCATATCTCATGAATCGTGTTCCATCTCGATCAGTCGACTTTCAGACACCGCTCCAAACTCTCTCTTCATATGTTGATGGTCCTACAGTTCCTAATCTTCCACCACACGTGTTTGGCTGTGTGGCCTTCATTCATCTTCATAAATAACAGAGCAGTAAGCTTGAACCTCGGGCCTTACGGTGTGTGTTTGTGGGGTATGCCCCAAATCAAAAGGGGTATCGTTGTTATCACCCTCCGATGAAAAAATTATTTGTCAATGTGGATGTTGTGTCTGATGAGAATGATATGTACTTTGCCAATCCCGAGTCTTCACTTCAGGGGGGGAATTAGACAGAAGTTCAAACTCTTAATTATACTATTCCAAATATAGATAGTGTGAATGATTTGTTTTTAAGTGGTGAAGTCTTGGAAATAAGTGGTGATCATTCACACGAAAACAATGATGTGAATGAATTGGAACTTAGTGGTAATGTCTTAGAGACAAATGGTGATCATTCACATGGAGACAAGGTTGAAAACCTTGAAAGGGAAGAGTCGACATCGTCAAATAACTCACTGCCTAATAGCTCTCTGCCAGTTTCCTCACTACCGGATTCCTGTGTCGCCAGCTACCTCACAGTAAATCTTGAGTCCCAATAACCATAATCAATATTCTTCGATCCCGGATGCATCACCACCACATCGTCTCCCTGATCGCGTCAACCGAGATATTCCTAAACTTACTTATGAAGCCAACCTTAAATGCAAAACTAAGTATTCGATGAGTAAGCCTAACCCTGAGTCTAATGTGTTATACCCGTTAAGTAATTATGTGTCTACCAGTCACCTGTCAGAATCAAATACGTCATCTATGCATCAATTATCTACTGTATATACTTCTAACAGTGTGCATGAGGCTTTAGCTGATCTACGTTGGCAAGCAGCAATGAATGAAGAGTTGATGTCTGTGAAGAAGAATGATACCTGGGAGATCACGGACTTGCTAGCTAGCAAGAAACCTGTAGGATGCAAATGGGTATATACGGTAAAGTACAAAGTTGATGGGACAGTGGATAGCTTCAAGGCAAGACTGGTAGCAAAAGGATACACTAAAAAAATATGGAATTGACTATACAAATACATTTGCCCCTGTGACCAAGATCAATACAGTCCGTGTTTTGTTGTCTTTGGCTGCAAATCTTAATTGGCCACTACAGCAGTTCGATGTGAAGAATGCCTTCTTTCATGGGGATTTGACAGAAGAGATTTACATGGAACTCCCACTAGGGAGTAATGTTCCAGATATGCATAGACAAAAGGTGTGCAGGCTTTGAAAATCATTGTATGGGTTGAAGCAGTCCCCAAGAGCGTGGTTCGGTAGATTTACCAAGTCTATTAGAGCATTTGGATATAAGCAAAGTAACTGTGATCACACATTGTTCTTGAAACGTCGGAATGGAAAGCTTACAACACTTATTGTACATGTGGATGACATGGTAGTTACCAGTAATGATCCGGTTAAGCATGCAGCCTTGCATAAATATTTAAGTACAACATTCGAGATGAAGGATCTTGGGTCTTTGAAGTATTTTCTCGGGATTGAGGTATCAATGAGCAAGTAAGGAATCTTCATGTCACAGAGAAAGTATATTCTTGACTTGTTAAAAGAAACTGGCATGTCAGTAAGCAAACTCGTGACTACTCTGTTGGCAGAAGGAATGAAGCTGAGCATTGATCTAAACCAAGTACCGGTAGATAAAGGGAGGTATCAACGATTAGTGGGAAGATTAATATATTTGGCACATACTAGACCAGACATTGCTCATGCCTTGAATGTCGTTAGTCAATACATGCATGATCCAAGAGAACAACACATGAATGCAGTTATGAGAATATTAAGTTATTTGAAAGGAAGTCCGGGCAAAGGGATTTTATTTAAGAAGAATGGTCATTTTAGTATTGAAGGTTATACGGATGTTGACTGGGCCGGTTCGAGGGATGATAGGTGCTTAACATCAGGTTACTTCACATTTGTTGGTGGAAATCTGGTTACTTGGAGAAGCAAGAAGTAGGCAGTAGTAGCAAGGTCGAGTGCAAAAGCAGAATACAGAAGTATGGCCCTTAGTATTTGTGAGATTTTATGGCTTAAACTACTACTACAGGACCGGGGTGTCAAACATAGTCAACCGATGAAGTTGTTTTGTGATAATAAGGCTGCTCAAGATATTGCTCATAATCCGGTGCAACATGATAGAACTAAACATGTAAAGGTTGACAGGTTCTTTATTAAAGAAAAGCTAGAAGGTAAAGTAATTGAAGTGCCTCCAATCAGAACGGAAGATCAAATAGTTGACATTCTCACCAAAGCAATTTCTAGTGAAAAGTTCTCTAAGTTTCTAGACAAGTTGGGCATGTGTAACATATATGCACCAACTTGAAGGGGAATGTTGACTTGTATAGGTTCCTATAATTTAGGATTTCCTAGTTTAGAATGGATCCCGTGTAATCTGGGAGAAATATCTTTGTAATATGTTGTAATTATTCTTTCCTATTTGGTTAGAATTAAGATTGTATATTATACCTCTTCCTGAGAAGAATAAACATATCATTCAAAGCATTCTCTTCTTAATCTGACATGTAGGCATCGGTTGTATTTGGATAGTAAACGAAGCTTTTTGGCCGAAATTGCCCTTATGTCACGAGCAAGGCTGGCAAGTCCTGTTCCTTGCTTCATGCTCTTCCTAACGACATATTGTAAGGCCCAGTTTTGACACCGAACAACCTACTAGTCTAGCCGCCAGTTTTGCGTCTTCCCAGCTGTTCTTTGATTAGCTCTGTCATCTGTTCTAGAGTAGCCAAATCACCACACTAACTGATTTTCTAATGAAAGACCAAGTTATGATGTGCATGCACTCTCCTTTTGGCATTTGGCTTACGAAGGAAGTTGAGGTTCCACCATAATACTAATTGACAATATAGGAAGTAGTTGAACCTCTCATAAGCCCTTGAAAGGTTTCTTCTTTTATCAATGTGAAACTCTTTTACCTTCATATTTTCACAGCTTCACACCTAACAAGAGCTTGACTCTGTGAACTCCCTTAAAAATGGCATCATCAGAAATTCCGAGGAGAAAATTAGGGCTAATTGCATTTTACACAACAAAGTTGGGGTTATTTGCAGAATAAGCCATGAGGTTTTTTACACTTGGTCTTTGAATTGCACCAATTTAAGCGTAAATAACTAAACATTGAAATTGACGGTCAAAAGTGTGCTTAAAAGTGGGCCAAATCTATACCGCGTTAGCACTTATCGTCTACTTATCTAAACTATGTATTAAAAAAATTAAGGGTGAAATGATTATTTAGTCTTCCATCGCAACAAAAAAGTTAAGGGCAATAACGTAATTTCACAAAACAAAATTTTGCTATTTTTTTGTTTAAACCTCGTCTACAGGTGATTTTAACATTTCTAATTTAAAAAAAGGAATTGTTATTAGCATTCCAAAAATCTTATTCTACACTTCAAACTTTTTATATTATGAAAGAAATATACACTTGTGAGGAGTGTAGAATGAGATTTTTGGAGTACAAATAACACTTCCCTTTAAAAAATTAAAAGAAATTTCTCTCTTCCTCTCTCCACACTCTCACGTTCTTTCTCTTCCTCTCTCGTTCAATTTTGAAAACAAAATAAAAAATTTTAGTTTGACATTAAAATTGATGAAGAAGTTAAATTTGTGCAATTTAAAAATCACGTGATGTAATATGCAAAAATTGAAACCTTGTGGGCCATTTTACAAATCACCCGCAAATCTTGTGCTATAAAACGCATTCAACCCAAAAAAAAATAAGGAAAATTAATGAAAATGGCTTGAAAACTTTGAGTTTTAATGATAATGACAAAATAAAGGGTAAAATAAATAGTACCAGGATTGACTTTTTAGTATAAAAATATGATTTTTCGTTAAAGTGACAGTTTATTTTCGTTAAAGTTCTTAAAAAATAAAGTAAGAAATTGTGCTCGCACCCAAAAGCCAAACCCAAACGATCGTTCTGTCACGCGAGCTCTCTCTCTGTCTCTATTTCCCTGTCTCTCTCTCTCTCTCTCTCTCTCACAGGCAAAGCCATGTCCAAGATCATATCCCAATCTGAAACTACAGCCTCCAGTACGACGCCGGAGCAAGTTCCATGGAGTGGCGTCCGTTGAAAGCTAACGATGCGAACGTCCAGATGCAGAGCCCTAATGGTATGATTTGTGATTATCTAGAAATTTTCCTTTTTTTTATAATTGTTAGTTTACGCTCTAACACCCTAATGCCGAACCCTAACTCGATTTCTATCGCTCTCCTATCTGTCTCCCCTATTCTCTCTCAGACGAAGCCATGTTCGACGAAGCAACCATGGTCGATGATGGTATGCTTAATTCTCCATTTGGCTAATTTTCAATTCAGTATTATAATCTTTGGTTAGATATGTTATTGTGTTATAGAAACCACGCTCACAAAGGGTATGGGTTATACGACGATGTGTGTGAGACAATCAGTTTTAGATCAAGGTTTGGTTTTGTTGGGGTTTTGCTAAAATAATCAGCTAATCTGCTTTTAAACAGTCTCCTGGAGATTGCCGATGAGAGTAACAGCTTGGGATTAATCTCTCTCCACCACCATGCGGTGAACCCCGAGTTGCTGTGCAAGTCTCACACCTGCCAGCACAGCCAGCAACTCCACTTGAATCACTGATCCCACTCCCATCTTCCTCCACACACCAGCTGCCAAAAAAACTCCCACGCTATATTTTGTAATCAAGTTTTGTATTTTTTGTTAATTTTGGATACATTTTGTTCATTGTTTTATATTGAATGTATACTTATATAACACAAAATTAATTGAATTTATAGATGTTCATATACCAAATATTAATAAAGAACAATAAATTGCATGACTGAAAAAGTTAGAGAGTATTAAAAAACTTATAAGCTATATCAATTTTTAAATTAAGTTTCCAAATTACTGAAATTACTCCGGTTCCGAAAATTCCGGATTTGAAAAGTGTGATCCGATCCACCCCGATTCCAAAATTTTGGAACGGAAGTTGAAAAGGTTATTTCTAATATGTTCCTTCCGACAAATACCCCTACAAGAAAAACCCGCATACAACCCACATGCCTCAACATTCTTTAAAATCTTGAAACAAAAAGTCAAAGATCTGGGTTGGAATGTGGGTGTATAAATATGTGTTTGTAAATTGATGACAAAAATTCATGGACAAAATGAATCGAGTTGAGTGCGGTCTTGGTTGACTGAACTTATCTCTATGCGTTCAACTCTTGAGATCTAAATACCAAGTACTTGTTCAGCAAATGACTTCCAAATGTATTCTATGTTGTTTGGTGGACGACGCCCTAAAGGTGTTCAGAATGTTTAAAAGGTCACTTTTTCCCCACCCACTTATATTATTAAAATATCCCTAACAATATTAATTTCTAAATAAGTAATATAAGGAATAATTGTATCTTGTAAACTTTAGGAAAAATCGCACAGCTACAAGCGTCTTCGTCCAACCTAGGCGAAAGCAATCACAACCAAACATTACACATAACGGTGGCAACTCATTTTCTCTTTGTCGCCGGGATAGTTAGATTTGTCTTTTTATCTTGTCGTTTCTCTGTTTCTCCCTCTCTGTCTTTCCTTATTAGATATGGATTTAAGATTCATATCCATATTTGTTCAAGAATTGCAATTCAAAAGTAAGGGTTGAAAAGTAGGGAGAAAAGAAGAGAGAGAATTTGAGGTGGGTGGGCTGGACGGAAAAATAGAAGATGGTTGGCGACGGGACGAGTTAGAACGGGTGAGGATGAAGAGACAAAATGGGGAGGTTGCTGGGCAACTTGGGCTATTTTTTCATATTTTAGTTTTTTTAATTTCTATTTTCTTTTTTCTGTAACGTTAGAGTATTAATTTTTAACAGGGTATTTGAAGTCTTTTCATATAAGGTTAAATTTGGAGAAAAAAAAATTAAGACGTGGATATAGTAGCACTCTAATAAAAATTACAAATCTTAGGGGTAATATATATTCTTTTATTTTGCCTAAGTGGAGATGGGTTTCCTTTGGCGCGTTTACGTAACCGTAATCAAAATAGAGGAATTGGATTGAGGAGGAGTCAGAATTGGATTCATGTTGAAGTTGTTTACTTAATGTTCTAGAATCGGAGTAAAAATGAAATGAAATTCATATCAGTTGTTTACTAATTCACCTGAATCGGAATATAAATCAATATAATTACTAAAGTGCCCTTTACTTCTTAATTTTTTTATTTTTTTATTTCATCTATATTTATTTTTAATCACATTTTCATTAGTTGCTTTAAAATGGACTAAGATCCAACGGCCAAATTATTTTCACCTCTCTCTCTCTCTCTCTCCCCGCTCAACTCTTCTCTTTCTCCCTCACTTGGAAGCACCCACCACCGCCACACCTGCATCTTCTCAATCTTCTTCAACCTCAGCCCACCCCAATTTAAATTCCTTGTTTATTTTGTATTTCTTATACTAGAATCTATCATTTTTTATGTATGTTCAGTGATATTTTTGTAGGTCCTTTGAATTGGGACTGTATTCAACACGAGGAGGAAGAATTTGCAGCATGGGAGGTTGGGGTGTGAGAGAGCCGGAAAGGGTTGCTAGGTTGTGTAAGATGTGGAAGGATCCAACACTCGGTGGAAGACCATAGTCACGATCAGAATAAAAATGGAAGTTTTCTGGGGAAATCTGGGATGCTAGCTCAAATTCATCTTCCCAGTTCCAACACTCGGTGGTGCTGCATCTATCGAAGCATCTGCAAAGCCTCTTGATAAGAGGGCATAATAGGAAAGAAGAAATGCATTCCCGATTCCTTCACCATCCCGGAATCCAAATACCTCACCCATGGAGGGAGTCCAATCCTCCAATTTCAAGAATTGAATTCCATTTTTCGTGTGGGTCCCACACACTATTGATTCCTCTAAATTGTAGTAAACACAAGAGTTATCCGTAATCGGAATCGGATTCCTTATTTTCATTCCGATTACGGGTACGTAAACACACCCAAAAGTCCAACTCCTTTGGAATTAATGTAGGGATCTACATATACTCGTCGTTTATTGGGACTGCGACTGCAAGTACTCCGTAGTCTCATCTAATTCAATGAGTTTCACACCCAACATTTTATCCTCTTCCCTTTTCTTTCCCTAGCTACCAAATTATATCAGATTTTGAATTCCCAAGTTGAGAATTTGTCATGCATGAAATCTAACATGCACTTTAGAATTATCATTTCGTTACATTAATTTGTAATACAAACTTAGTTGAAGGAGTATTTAATATTTGTGAAAATTTATTTCTCTTGAATTGTCGTTGACTGTAGCGGTTAAGATTGTTGTTGATTCAGAAAGATGAGCAATAAAGGGTGGCCAAATTAAGGATGAAATGTGATAAATTTATTTCTTTTAAATCAAAGAAGAGTAAATTGTAGCAATGGTCCATCAACTTTAATCATATTGGAGCAATGGTCCCTCAACTAAAATTTCATTACCATTGGTCCCTCAACTCATCAAAATGTGTAGATATGGTCATTTTCATCAACTTCATCAGAATTTTGTCAAAATGAGTTATCTTGGAATGACCATTACTATAATTGGGGTCTCTCAACTCATCAAAACGTGTAGCTATGATCATTTTCGTCAACTTCATCAGAATTGTGTCAAAATGAGTTATGTTTGAAAGATTATTGAGATACAAGGGTGCGAGGTTTAGTGTTTTAATATTATCAAAGATCATGGAAGAAATCCTTGTTTTGGGTTTATTGCATGATTGTCTACCTGCACTCATGTAGTGTGAATTGACAGAAATGACCTTTGTAATTGATAAGGCCCACTCACACATTCAATTTTTGGTTTTCAAGTATACATCCTATAGTTAATGAAGCTGGGATCTTCCTCTTTGGTTATACATATGAGAAGTTTGAATTTTTTTTTTATTCAAGCGATAATGTTAGTAAGTTATATGTTAAATTAGTTACCGTTGAACCCACTCCATCATACAATAACACAACACATTTCCATCACTGTGGTAAATGACAACTTGCATATGAGAAATTTGAATTTGATTTTACAACTATATTCTTAGATATTTTTGGAATAAAAACTAATTCAAAGTGTGATATCACGAATACGTACGTACATGTACTATATATGCTTGTGAAGGTTGGAGGGTTATTTTCGTAATTGTGACTGGAAGCTTAGACGAAGAAGCTGAAGAAGTGAATATATATGAGTACTGCAGTAATATGGCATCTTTTAGTTAGGTATAGTGGGTACGTATACATTTTATTGAAACTTTGTAACCTTTTTGTGCTTTGACTCTGCAGGGATGATGAAAGGCAAACATGTAATCTACATCAGTCGTGTGTTCGGATTAGAGAATGGGTCTTCATTAGACTTAGTTTTAAGTTTTCTTAAAAGCCTTATGTACACTACTGGATTTTTAGTTCAAGTATCCTCTATCATGTTGATCTGTATGTTTTGTGTCTAATGAAATGAAATCTGAATTTTTTTCCCCATATTTGCTGGTAATAGCTTCTTCTGGGATTTTTTTTAGGGGTTTCTGAACTTTAGTCCTTGAAGAGATTAAAATTCAATAAAAACTTTGTGTTAGATTGAATATTGATTTTAGTCCTCTAATGAGTACTTAATTCAAATTTATATTATATTTTTGTTTTAATAGTTAATAGATATTATTTAATGTCATTACATTAAAATTAAAATTATTTATTATTATACACATTTTAATTCATTATATTTATTTTGCTTCCTCTAATTAGTGTACCTAAACGTCCGTATCATAATATATTTTACTAAATTAGTGTGCCGAAATGTCCGTACCTAAATATATTGTAGTGAATTAGTAGCACATAAGAAAATATGCAAAAATATCAATGTATCAAAAAATTTTGTACCTAAATATATGATACTAAACTAGTGTACTGAAATGTCGGTACCTAAATATATTATAATAAACTAGTATACCGAAATGTCCGTACCTAAACATATTATACTAACCTAGTGTACCGAAATGTTCGTACCTAAATATATTGTAATGATTAGTGGCACATAAGAAAATATGCAAAAACATGTGCACCGAAAAATCTTTACAAAAATATTTTCTTATATAAGATACTTACCATAATGAGAATTAAAATTTATAATATTTTTATAAAATTTAATTTATGAACACTATAAAATTATAAATAAAAAAAAACATTTAATATGTTGGCATTAGATAGAATATAGGGACTAAAATTAATTTTTAATCTTGTATAAGATATTTTTTCTAAACTTCATCTTAAGGATTAAAATCTAGTTTTCTATTTTTTTTTA